AATCTGGCCTCTTAAGTTAACTATGGCGACAGCTATGAGCGGACTTTATAGACAGAAACAATTAAATATTAACAGACGACCCTTTTGAATCGTTTTCATCTGAACTTTTCTAATGTGAGGATCGCAGGATTTCTGTTGTTTCTTCTTGAACATTTTTTTGTTTGTTTTCATCTGTATAATTCTGTTGATTAGTATAGATTTGGTATACGTTATTAGGATATTACACATGTTAAATATGAATTTGTTGGGTAGGATACTTGAGTATTCTCTCCATACCATCACTGGTGATGATCCCAGTCCGAGCTTTGAACCCTGACCCTATGTTTGGAGACAAGCAAAAATACTTTTGGAAAAAAATTGGATTTTTCTTTGGCCTTGATTGAAAAGACATTCTAGTAGCACGGGGTTAAAGTGAAGGCTAGGATCATCACTGATGATAACTTAGATCTCAGGGGTAAGGCAAAGTGAAGCTCAAGTGCAGCCTTGGCAGATTAACCAATCTCAGTACAAGCTTACATCAGCTGATACATTTCTAGGCAAATCTCATATAAGGCGCATAATTTAAGCCGCTTTGCAACCCATCTCCACCCCAGCTGTTCTTTTTGCAATGTGTTTGACTACATGAGTACCACATCCTTTGCAACTGAAGCCAGGTCTGCTGCTCTTCCTGCTTGTATGCAGGCTGGCTGTTAGGAAACCTCAGAACAGACTACAGTAGTCCTGACTCAAATACAGTTATATGTTGCCCTACATAGCAACTTTACAGTTTGACAAGCAAGTACGGAACAAACTGTGAATGTAATTTTCCTAATAACCTTATTTTGCATATATTTTTTTAAAAGATAATAATTTGAGATGCTTTGCTTGTTACCATATATGCCAGTGCCACATTAGACATTCCTAGTTCACACTGTGCCGATAATACATGAGAGGACACGTCTCTGTGAGTCCACCCCAAGTAATTAGCTAAACAGACTTCCTGTTACGTCTGCACTCACTTTGGCTACAAGGAGGGAGCTTCCAGCTGCCATCTTGAAGCTTTTACACAAAATATTTTCTTTTGAAGGGATAATGAAACAATGAAACAGCACCATGCAGAGTCCTTTTAGAGGCAGAAGTGGGGTTAGGATTTTTACGATGGGGCCACACAGACCGAAATTGCCTGTAGGATGAGTGCAGCGCAGTGCTCGGCAAGGCACAGGCCACCAGTGAAGGAGTTGTCTCTCAGTGACAGAGCACAGTTTACACTCCGGTGTCAGATAAAGCAGCTTTAACACTCAGAGAGCATCCAGTCATCCATTAATTCATTAGTCAGACTGGGGCCGACATTGAAGTGACATGTTTTTACAGAGACTTCAGTCTGACGCTGAGAGGGAGACGCTGACTTTCAGGAGGGTAATGGAGACCATGGAGACACAAACCATCACCACCGCTAACACACACACACACACACACACACACACTCTCTCACACCCGTTATTATTACTTTCACAGTATGGTGCACTGATTTGGTTGCGCACACACTCACACACACACAAACAGTGCCATCCTACCGCAGTGGCTGCTCCACAGGCTCAGCTGAGAGAAGGAAATGCAGAAATGTACAGAGAAAGTGAAAGGTGAGCAACATGGAGGGGGAAAAAAAGAGGTCAGCAGAAAGAAGAGAAGTAAAGGCACACTATCAAACACAGAAACACTCAAACTGCTAACGGATGTTCATTCCTTAAGCTGCTTTCCAGTTCTGTTGGAAAGTAGGGAAATCATCCTTTAAACTGGGACAAACTTCCAAGGAGAATTCTGAATCAGGCCAGGAATTCTATCAACTGCCTTTAAGCAAACAGAATCTGTTAGTCCTAGAAATATATTCCTTCAGATTAATTGTAAAAACCTCTCAGTGGAACTTCGGTGATCATTGGTTTCTTTTAATATTTATAAATGTATTACTGTTGTCTTGTTTTAGACAAACCTGGCCGCACAACATTCAACACACAAGTGAGGAATTACCTACTTCCAGCTTTAAATGAAAAGCAGCAGCATTCGTTTCGCGTTTACTAATTCTAACTCAGTGCTACTGGTGCGGCTCGTCACGGAAAGGCGGAGCTGTAAACGGCGCGCTCACCCGAGGCTTCGCCGAGCAGAGCGGTCCTGCCGATGTTGGAGAGCAGGTGGTCGATGTTGGGGGCGGGCTGCACGTCCTCCGTGTCCACTGGTGTCTGCAGGGACGGGGTAGATTTACTTTAAAAACTCGGAGCATTGCATCCATAAACTGTCAAGTATCCGCCGTAGTTTTAGAGGCCTTTTATATCTTTATTATGGGCAGTACATGACAGCAAATGAAGAACAGAGTGAGACAGACTCAAATTGGGGGACGTGGCTAGCATCTCAATCCCTAGGCCAAGAGCTCAAATGCAGCTATCATTAATTCAGCTCCATTTCTGGAGATCAAGTGTAGCAGCTGCTGCATACTTATGAGACAATTATCATTAGGGAAATATTAGTTATTGAAACTGGAAGAAAATTCCTAGAAAGGTCAATAAGTCTTGAATGATTTGCTTTTGAAAGCATGTCTCGACAATTTTCCAATTTCACAAAGATTAAAAATTAAATGTCGCCACCGAACAGCAGAGTGACTTGTTGGGTTTGTCAGAGAGCTCCATTACATCATGAAAAAATATTAAATGACCAAATAAAAAGAAATAATGAATGATGTGACTCTTCACTCAACCAGTCATTTTTCTTAAAATGTTGGATACAATGTTTCAAATTCCCGCAACAGTGGATTTTCTTTTTTTCCTGTCATTTTCTAGAGCAATAGAGATCCTTTTGCAGAGCTGCTTCGCAGTTATTTGCAGTGACGTTTGCAACTTTGTGCCAAACATTCTGCACTTTTTTTTGGTCAGTTGCAGCATCTATCACTGCCTTTGAAAGCATACCTTCTCATCCTTGTCTAGCTCGTCAGTGAAAAACCAGGTGCACTGCAAGAAAGCCGGAGAAAGAAATGCTGAGCATGACTTGGATACTAATAAGGATGAATTATACTGTACGTGCGCGTTTGCATCTCTCACGTGTTGTATGAGCGTTTCTACGATCTTGTAGCGGTCGGGCATGTGAGTGACCATGTCTTTCATGTTGTCCTCAGACGTCCGAACCAGCGTCGGCCCAAACACGAGAGCCAAGTTACGAGGCTCCATCTAGAGACGCCAGGAACATATTGATGACATTAATACCAAATACTTAACGGTAAGTAAGTAAGTAAGTAGTAAGTAAAATTTATTTATATAGCACATTTCACAGATAAAAATCACAAAGTGCTTTACAATAAGATCAGACATACAAGTTAAAATTAATTAAAAGCCCGTTTGTATAAAAATGTCTTCAGCTGCTTTTTAAAGGAGTCAGTAGAGTCTAGACAGCGTAAAGACAACGGCAGAGAGTTCCACAGCCTAGGTGCCAGTGCCTGAAAAGCCCGATCCCCACGTGTTTTAAACCTGGTACGTGGGACCACCAGTAGCCTCTGACCTGAAGACCTAAGTGCTCGGGATGAAGCATGAGGTTTCAACAGGTCAGAGATATACTGGGGAGCTTCACCGTGCAGAGCTCTAAAAGTTACAACTAAAATTTTAAAATGAACCCTAAAATTTACAGGCAACCAATGAAGAGAAGCCAAAACTGGAGTAATGTGTGACCTCTTATTTGTACCAGTTAAAAGCCTTGCCGCTGCATTCTGTACAGACTGAAGGCGATCCAGAGCTGATTTGTTGAGACACGTAAAAAGACCGTTACAATAATCCAAACGAGAAGAAATAAAAGCATGAATAATCATCTCAAGTTCTGCCTTTGACACCAGTAGTCTGAGTTTAGAAATGTTTCTTAGATGATAAAAACAGTTCCGGACAAGTTGTTTATAGTGTTTCTCAAGAGACATTGAACTGTCAAATATAACACCTAAGTTTCTGAGACTCGACTGAAATGAAGGGTCTAAAAAACTTATATGCTGCCTAATTTCTGAGAGCATGTGATCAGGTGCAATAATCAAAGTTTCTGTTTTATCTGCATTTAACTGAAGGAAATTGTCATTTAACGGTGATACATTTCGTCCGCGTTTACAAATTCCCTTTATCCCACCTTGTTTTTATCCGAGTTGTCAGCTACAGTCTTCAGGTGACCAACCAGGAACTTGAGAGTGTGGTAATAATGATCTGGGAGGTCGCGGATCTATACGAATGAAAGGAAAACAAAATGAAACGTCAAAACCGTAAACCTGTTTAACCTGCCCGACTTCTGCGCGCACTTAACCCAAGCGGGTAAACACGTACCAACTTCTTCATGGTCTTCAGTCTGTCGGATGCATTTTCCATCCGATTGGCATCGATGAAGTCGTTGTACTTGTCTGTTAAGATATGAGAAGATATAAAAAGTCAGATGAAGCTGTGTGATTAGGCTGCGTAGCGATGTTTTGCGATGGCATGTTGGAACCTGTTGGTCTCACCGTTGGTGAAGAGTGGCTCTGGGAGTTTCCTGAAGAAGGATTTGAGTAAGCTACTGACGACATTGAGGTCCTGCCACTTCTGCAGACGACAGAGCACACAGAGACGACTCAGATATCGTTACCAATCGCCTTTTGTACTAAAAGCGCCAGTTAATTGTTGCTTTTTTCCCTCTCTTTGAGGATCGACAGTATTCTTGTAAAAAAAATGATCATGTAAAAAAAAAAAAAGTAGATCCCAATGATTCAGCAGGCTTGTAGAAACACATTCAGGAGCAATAACTTTAAGTTGTGGTTTTCTGCATGACTTTAGAAGCCTCTCACATTGTTGTCGAGGAATTTCCTGGAATCTTTTCAAACAATCTTTGGAAAGACTGGCAGCTGTTCTTGAAGGTTTTCCATTTCTACCTCTTGGACAATAACAGGCTTCGAATTGTTTGGAAATGAGGCGCTCAAACTTGCTAATGATCAGTTTATCAAGTGCATTCAATTAGCAGCACCTGGCTGCCACTTGCCATCTTAATTCCTGTGAAGCAATAAGTGTGTACTTACTGCTTCTGGAGTTTGGCTTATTTTTTGCTAAATAAATTACAGCACTGAGGTTCATCTGAGGTTGCGTTTACAGGCTATTTTAAGACCTACGAAGCACCAGATGATTTTTTTATGTGCTGATATGTAAAATCTCAGAAATGAAAGAGGCTGC